TGGGACGAATCCCACCAGGTTTCCGTTAGCCCTACTAAGTCATAGGTGTTTTGTGCAAGCAGGAGCGCTAGTTCATCCTGCTTGTTCCCCATGCTCCTAGCATTAGTATATAGGCACTTGAGCCCTGCGACTGGTGCCTTTGCTGCCCCCCCGCTCTGAGTCCCAAGGGGCCCCTTATTTCTTACCTTCTCGTTGCTTACCTGTGCTGTAGTGCTGGCCGCCCCATGGCTTGCAGGTTCCCAATGTTCTCCTTCTTCAGGCTGGGCTGTCCTTGTGGGTGCCACATGGTTTGGTGGTCCACAGCTTCCCCCGCCCTCATCTTCCCCTCCCCCCGATGAGCCTAGTTTAAAGCCCGCCGGAGGAGATCCGCCAACCTAGAAGAAAATACACGCTTACCTTTGGGGGACAGGTGAAGCCCATCCCAACTGAGCATGTCCCTCATTGTAATGTGCGGGTCGTTGTCCAGGAAGCCGAAGCCTGCCTCGAGATACCACTGCCGAAGCTTCCAGTTGGTCTCTCTGATGCAGTTTTGGTCTCCGCAATACAAAAAGGATGTGGAGAAGCTTGAGAGAGTGCAGAGAAGAGCAACGCGCATGATCAGAGGTCAGGGAAGCAGACCCTACGATGACAGGCTGAGAGCCCTGGGGCTGTTTAGCCTGGAAAAGTGCAGGCTCAGGGGTGATCTCATTGCCACCTAAAAGTTTATCAGGGGTGACCACAAGTATCTGGGGGAACATTTGTTCACTGCAAGACCATTTCAGGCTGGACATAAGAATTTCTTTACTGTCCGAGACCCCAAGGTCTGGAACAGCCTGCCATCGGAGGTGGTTCAAGAACCTACATTGAACACCTTCAAGAGTAAATTGGATGCTTATCTTGCTGGGATCCTATGACCCCAGCTGACTTCCTGCCCTTCGGGCAGGGGGCTGGACTCGATGATCTTCCAAGGTCCCTTCCATCCCTAATGTCTATGAAATCTATGAATATATTTACCGTGACTGTAAAGGTGGATAAGCAAATGAGCTAATTAATCTAAATAACACAACTGCACAGTAAATGAAAGGGGTGGGGGCTTGCTCTCACTAGGTCTAAACCTGTAGCCTGGCTGTAACCTGGCACTACAAAGGGCTCAGAAAACACTACAGACTCGATTTAAATTTAAAACCAGAAGACTATAGTATTATAACAACTATACCAACAAACAAACAACAGTGAACAATGTCAATTACAGAATACTACCAGAAATTTCCTTCACCCTTGTAGGCTCAATTCCTTTTCTAGGTGTGGGCAATACTTTATCCTCCTAATGGCTCTAATACTGACAAATAGTGGTCGGCTACTGACGTGGGCGACTAGTGCTGCCTTAGTCGGGGGGGGCACATGCGCCCCCCCTGACCAATCCTGCTGACTGGGGGGGGGGCGGTCTGCTGCAGATGATTCTGTGGCGGGGGGTCCCCCGAGGGGGCAATCCTCCAACAGCCAATTGCTGTGGCCAATCGCTGCAATCACTTTAGCATTTTCTGGGGGTGGTTGCAGCTGTTTCTGGGAGCAAGCGCTGGCCAATCGCTGCAGCCGCTCCCAGAAGTGGCCGCACCCACTCTCAGAAGTGGCTGCAGTGATCACAGCGATTGGCTGGTGCTTGCAGGGGAGGCACCAATGCTTCTGCCTGTCCCCTGCCAAATCTATTATGTAATAAACAGCCAATTGTGCATGCTCACAATGGAGAAATTGCGTCAATATGTCCTCCAGTTCAAAAGGTTAGCTGGGCTAGAACCTTCCAGGTCTTTACTTAACTGAGCATGTGCAATAACACTGTCACAGTAATAGATCGTGGTTTGTCTGCAAATGTTATTGTGATGTTCTTGAGGCTAAGTGTGATGGTTTCAATGTTATTCTTGCTTGTGCTGGTATGCACTTGTTCAATTTTCAGGTCAGGTCTAGCAAAAGCCATACTGTCATACAGCTTATGCCTTATTTCAGCAATGAGTGTTTTCCCTTTGATGGTCAGGCTAGAGTTATTAGGTCCTTTGTGTGCCTCCTGTATGCACACAATATCACACTCCTGTGATATTGCTTCCAGGATATACAGGATCAATAGGCAGTAGCAAACATTCCTTTATTTAGAGATATATGTTTTAGTTTGTATTGCTGGTTTTTTAGATGATCTTTATACATGCATAACATTTGTGAATAATAAATATCTATGTTACCTGTAAATAGTGAAATAGCACAAGTATGTAGATTAAGTAGCACAATAGCACAATTTATGCAAAATTGCACAATTAGATTAATCAGAAAATCTTGCTGAAATCTGTATTGACTCCTGTTTTATATTTAAAGACCAACAGGTGTTTACTCACCAGCTCATGCAATGAATAGAAGACATCTACTATTAGGCAAATCAGCATATATAACTGACCCTCTAAGTGAGGTAAATTAATTACTCAATTAAAAAAATAGAACCTAGAATTCTGTTTTTAAAAAGGCACTACAAGTATTCACATTATTTTTTAAACAATATTGCAGGGTGGAAGAGTTTTGCTCTTTTTGCTATAACTGTTTCTTCTTAGTCCTTATAGGCTGCTGTGTAGCTATTAAAGAATCCCACAAAAATACATTGATTTAGAAAAAAATCTTGAGATATGTAAGAATATGTTGTTAAAAAGATCTTCAACCTTTTGTTTTGTCATAGGCTCATTCAAAATGTGTGTTGTTTGGGGGATTTCAGTGTTTTATTTGTAGTTAAATTGTATTTTATTGGAATTCCTAAAAATATTTATTTTATGATGGTGTATATCCATGGTTTCCAACCTGAAACAGTATGTTATTTCAAAGGGGTCCACAGCCATAACAGATCCTTTGGAGCCCTTTGTAAAGGGACCAGAAACCATCTGCAAGTCTCATCCTGGAAATTTTTCATAAATGGGGTGAACTCCAAGTGAACACAAAGAAGCAATACATAATTCTGCTCCTTTTAGTACAGTACAGCTAAGAAGCATTGTATTGGGAGGAGGAGGAATGATTGGAATGCCTTGTGCTCTGGCTACAGCTAGGTGGCATACGGACTCTTGGGGAACATAGAGCACCTGTACATGTGATAGACCTCTGCTCCGACGCATGCTAATTAGCACATTTTGGAGTAGACTTGATTAATTGAGTCTGCCGGAGCATGCTAACTAGTGTGCTCCGGCAGTCTCTACAGGATGTGTATTTGGTGCTCCCAGATTTCAAAATGGCATTTGGGGTGCTTTAACTAAAGTTCGTTGAATGAGCTTTAAAGTGCACCTGCCACCATTTTGAAGCAAGGCACACTGAATATATGTGATGCTGTGGGTGCTTAAATTAGAGCAGCTCTGAGAGCCGCTCTAATTAAAGGATCCCTCACTCCAGAACACATGTATGGACACCCATAAATACCAGATACGTGTTACCAGATAATCTGTGTTGAAATGGAGCGAAGAAAAATGGAATTATAGTGTTTTATTTGTTAATTTTTGTCCTTTTCCTTTTACTTGGTTGCTAAGAAAGCCTGTATAGGAAGTAGAGGAGAAAGAGAGCCATCCTATGATAACTGCTCCCCTGTGTCCACGCAGAACTTGTTAAACTCCTATATCTCTTTCATTGAGGCTTCTAGGGAAAAAATGGGATAACTACAATTTCTTTCTCTCTTCCCTAGAATTAAAAGTAATTCTGGGAAACAGAAGATGATGAACATTTACTTTTTCTGAGAGACTGCCTTTCATAACCCTAATAACTCCTTTTTCAAAGTTTAAATAAATTGTAGCAGTTGGACTCCTAGCTAACAAATTCTGGACATATGGATTATAATTCATGAGTGCATAAATATCATTATATGTACTAAACAATCTACCATTTCAAATCAAGCACTGTTTGATGAGATACATCATTTGTCATTTAACAATATACAGAGAAAATAAGTTGGGAATGAATCGAGTGAGATTAACATTTATGCCTAACATGGCTTTGGAGTTGGCTTTATTGAGAAATCTTCCAACTTGTGATTTGCATTGCAGATAAGCACACCTCAGTTTCAGTATCGTTATACTACTATCTGCTACATAGCAGTAGTTTCAGGACATAGGCTGGAAGATGGTTTGGAAATAATACATAAAATAGAACTAAAATATAATAAAGGGTATGTTTTGTGTTTTAGATGACTGTCCATCCTTTTGTAGAAGTTTCTTTCCAGCATGCAGTTTATCAGACTAGCACTGCCGATGGTTCTCATCCATGTTGGAATGAAGAACTTCAAATGGATTTTATGTAAGTTTTTCCCCTTTTACAACATGAAAAAATACAGCAAAATAGTTGTTGAACTCTATAATAAAAGTATAAAAATCAGCAGCTAGATTCCCCTCCCCCCTGGAACCAACAGCAAACTTGTAACTCAAAAAGCTTCCTGCAAAACATTCTCAGTTACAGCTGGGAGCTGCATTTCTGTCTGCACCTTTGTTTTCTCTTTGTCAAGAAACAGGACAACCCTGTCATAGGCCATGTTTTGAAAATAAAGGAAAGTTATTGCTGTCCACTTGTCATTTATTCTATTTGAAATGAGTTGGAACAATGGCTCTCAATTTTTTGCCTCTTTTCCCCTTTTTAGGGGGTGTGTTGTAGCGAGGAAGGTAGCATGGTTGAAGGGGATGAGGATGCAATGCACTCCATTCTGGTTATTCTCTGTGACTATAACTAGCCAATAATGATTTTTACAAATTGGAATAATCTAGAGTAGACATGAAGTTAGGAGCCAAAATTAGGGAGGTAAAAATGTGGCTTGAAACATTTTCCAACTATTTTTCACTGTTGGATGCTGTGAAATATATGAAAGAATGGAGAGGTTAACAATGTTTAGGAAATTAGGGACAGAAATCAGTGGAACTATGTTGGTTCTCAGCAACTGGATTTCTGTCCTAATTTATTTGACTACTGAAATAATAATGAAATAAAATAGCTTTTGCTAAATTTATCCCCGAGAGTCAGTAGAGTTAAACTGGAATGATATTCACCTTTTGTTTTAGCATACTGATGTAGTTTGATTTCTTTAAAATTGTTCATGATTCTTTAATATTGTAAGAACATTAAAGAGTAATTATATTATTTTTAATTATAAAAATATCTGTAAGAAAAGAGGTGAGTAAAATAAATTCTGTCTGTAATTACAGATCTCCAGGACATGACTACAGTTTTTCAGGACTGTCTAAAATTAAAGACAATATATGTGTCAACATTTTTGATGAAGTTATTTTGGAAAAACATGAGGTAAGTAGCATAAACACAATAACGGACTTTTGTTTCTCAAGTTATTGTGTGCTGTGTAAATCACTATAAACATGAACACATTTAATTTTTGTCTTTCTTATTTGGAATAAACTATTTCTATAATATTGCTTTTCCAATTTTGAATAAACTTAGCTTTCATCTTAGAATTTTTAGAAATTCCATTCAGAAATATTGTGGCCATTATGATAGTTTAGATTTGAGGTGTGAGAAAACAGTTCGATTTTCTGCAAAAAACTGGCATTTGATGCAAATCAAAATGTATATTTTTTACCAACCTGTGAAAATTTTGATTCAGAACTACTTCTGTAGTTTCTCATGCTATTTGTACAGTGGTGTCCAACCTTTCTGGGATGCAGACCAGATGTGGTATGGGGTCAGTCTACAGGTTGGATCTGGCGCATGTGTTTTAGTCCATGGGCCCTATTCAATGCAGGATTGTTACATGGGAATGATCCATCATATGGCCCCAGCCCCACATGTGCCAGATCAGGATCTCTCCCCAGACCCAACTCTATATGCTAGGTTGCGTCCTGGACCCATGTGCCAGATCAGGCCCTGATCTGGTGCATGGGGTCCTGTGATCTGGCCACAAGGTTTTGAAATTGTCCTCTCTGGGCAACCTGACCAGATTACATTTCCCAGAATACCCTGTAGACCCTATCGCTGAGCTTCTCCAGTCTGTCATCTAAGGTCCTGGGTATAGTGCCTCATGAAAAACCTGCCCCAACTAAGAGAATGATAGCAGGAAGCAATTGATGTATAGCAGGGATTTCCAACCTTTTTGAATGTGGGGCCAGCTCATTAACTTTTTATCACCCAGTGGGCTGGCCAAAGGACCACCCCCCACATTAGAAAGCTGCTGAAGCGCTAGGGGAGGAACAAGGGGTGGGAATGAAAGTAAACAGTGTTTACTTTCATTTCCCGTCGCAGCACCTCGGGCCTCAGAAAACGGCTTGGCGGGCTGCATGGCAGCCCGTGGGCCATATGTTGGACAAGCCTGATGTATAGCATTTATAAGACACTGTGACAGCGTTTCTAAATTATCAGGTTTCTGTTCACAGGTGTTATTTTTCTGGTTTTGATTGTTCAGTTTTTCAAATTAAATTCATTTTTTTTCATGGAAAGCAGGTAATTCTGTGAAATATTTTGCTTAGTTGAAGATAATTGTGGGTGAAAAATTTGTTAAAATATTTAAAAGTTCTATCTTATTTCCACTTTAAATTTGTCTAAATTTACATATTAGCTTTTGTTATGCCAGTGTCCTCTAGGTTAAAAAGTCCATTAGTATCATAATATGTGATATCTTTTTTCATGTAGACTTTTTTTTGCTGTCATCTAGTCATATTTTTATTCTCTCTTTAATGATTAGCTTCCTAAGTCTCAGACTGAAAGGCAGATTTTCTGAGTTTGAATGATTATTTTCATTCTTTGCTGAAGCTTTTACAGTTTTCCTAAGTTACAAAATTATTTTTTTCATTGTGACATATTCAGTGTTTCATTATGGATTTATTGTTATACATTGTGTTGCCATATACCAAAATTTGTAATGAGATGTCTGCTTTAGTTTTTATTCTAACAGAATAGATGTACCTTAAACATTATTATATTTTACAGTTTATTTCATATAGAGATATTCTATAGAATGTCCTGCTTCTGCATAACTTTTCTGTTACTTTTATCCTTGAGGATAATAACATTTGTGTGTGTTTCTCAGCAATACAGTATAGGATAGGAATAAAGCCTTGTGATTTCAACAGTTGTCTTGTGTATAGACAACAGATATAAACAAATATTGATAAGAAGCTGAATCTGGCTTTAATGCAGTTACCAATAGTTTATCATCATTGTCGTCAGCATCTTCATCATCATCACCACAGTAAAATTCTTTAAGCCATTTCCTGAGTATTGACCCAGTGCATTATTCCAACCATTGTCAGTTAGGCCAATCAGCCTAACTTCCATCCTAGGGAAAATCCTAGAAAAGTTCATCAAGGAGTCTATCTGCGATAAGCCTGCAGAAAGTAAGATTCTGAATGACAGCCAGCACAGATTTCTTGCAGGCAGGTCTTGCCTTACAAACCTAATCTCCTTCTATGGCCAGGTAACTCGCCACCTGGACATGAAAGAGTAGGTTGACATTGTATACCATGACTTCCAAAAGGCCTTTGATCTAGTATCCCACAATGTCCTTGAAAGAAAATTGGAGGATTGCAGGCTTAACTTTGAGACAGTCAGGTGGGTGAGAAACTGGCTGCAGGATAGGACCCAGACAGTCGTAGTGAATGGATCTGTGCCATTCTGGCAAGAAGTGGGCAGTGGTGTCCTGGAGGGGTCAGTGCTTTGTCCAGTACTTTTCAACATCTTTATTAACAATTTGGATGTGGGGGTGAAGAGCTCACTGGCCAATTTTGTGGATGACACCAAGTTAAGGGGAAGCATGGTCACACTTGAAGATAGGCTACAGATACAGGCAGACCTAGACAGGCTAGCAAGTTGGGCGGATTGAAACCTGATGAAGTTCAATGTCAAGAAATGTAAAATGCACCACCTCGGGACTAGCAACCCCCAATACACCTACTGACTTGGCAGCACCAAACTGACTAGCACCATGAATGAAAGGGACCTAGGGGTAATAACAGACCACAGTATAAAAATGAGCCGGCAGTGCAATGCTGTAGCTAGTAGGGCAAATAATACTCTGGCATATATCAATCGATGCATCTCCAGCAAAAGCAAGGAGGTGATTCTTACTCAGCGCTGGTGAGAATGCAGCTGGAGTACTGCATCCAGTTTTGGGCACCACACTTGAACAAGGACATGGATAAGCTTGAGAGAGTCCAAAGAAGTCACCCGTATGATCAGTCTTACACAGCAAGCCATACGAGGAAAAGCGGAGGGATCTGGGACTCTTCAGCCTGAAGAAAAGAAGGCTGAGAGGGGACCTGGTAGCAGCTTACTGCTACACTAGGGGATTACATCAAGGGCTCAGTGAGCAACTGTTCACCAGGGCACTGGTGGCACCAGGAAAACTAGGAGAAATGGCTACAAACTGCTGGAAGACTGATTCAGGCTCAACATTAGGAAAAACTTTTTCACAATCAGGGTGTCCAGACTGTGGAATAAGCTCCCTCCAGAGGTGGTGCAATCACCTACCCTGGAAATCTTTAAGAGGAGACTAGACAGTCACCTTGTTGGGGTCACCTGACCCCCAGTTATCTTTCCTGCTTGGTGCAGGGGGCTGGATCCCATGATCTTCCAAGGTCCCTTCCAGCCTTACATCTATGAGCCTATGAAACATTATAGATACTTTTATCATCCTGAATCAAACTGCTAATAAGAAAACTTCTGATGATGAGCCATGTATAATTATAACATGAACAAAATTATCACATTACCAGCTCTCAGCTTGTTACTTCATTCACAATATAATTTAAGACCAATTCCTGTAAATAGTTATACCAGTATAGTCACTGCATCCACAGGCAGTACCAACATTTCCACTAGAGGATTTATCTGCAGATTGGGGTCTCATTGAGCTATGGATCTGTAAAACTTAATACTCTGAGGATTTTTTAAAATAAAAAATTAGCTAAGTCATCTACTTGCCTATTTAATATTTTTACGTTATGAATGAAATACCGGAGGGCGTTAAATGCTGAGAGAAAGAGGCATAAGGGTATAGGAACAAGCAGAGAAGAGTATCATAGATCTTACCACTTCTTCATTTTTAAATGTTTTAAGTTCTGATCTTTTCTTTCTGTACACTAAACTGAAACTCCCATCAAGACTTTCATAATTTTCCATATTTCTATACTCCGATCTATTCAAACTGAAAATATAAAATTTTACCTCAGGTGGTAAAATGTCAGGAGTGTATAGAATGCGGAAGGTTGGGAAGACTAGAATGAAGCAATGTACACAGCACTTTGTCAGACCCTCATTTGGTATAGAAGTCCCCAGGGAAATGCTGTTATCTTTGGCTTCTCTGTGTTATGGGGTATGCCAATTTGGTCGTGGCATTGAGGGAGAAGAAAAGTGTGCAAAGGCCATAATTCCTTTCCTCAGCTGTGCTGAGCATAAACTGGTTGTAGCTGGGGGTTGAACTCAGGAGACATCTAGATTCATAAATAATGGGTAAATTAAAAAAAATCTTCTGGATTTTATTATGAAAGTGTTTAATTTTGTGACCATATGGATTTATTGAGTTATCACATTCTATTTTATATGAGCAATTCATCGGTTCATTGAACACCTTGGGCGCATCTACACATGCAAATAATCCGAGAACAGTTTACATTTGCTGCTCCTAGCATGTGGAAGCAGGGGATACTCACCAAAGGTGAACCCAGGAATAAGGGCCTCTGGAAATTCCCCTCACAGCACCTGGGTAAAGCAGGGAAGCCTGGAAGGGGCTGGAGAGTTCTCATGCACTGGTGCAGGGATGGTAGCAGTGGCTGACTGACAGGAAGTGAGAGCCCCACTTTGTGAGCTCCTGCTTGTTTTGCATTGGAGGTTGCCCAAGGGCTGGCAGCATAAACAGACATCTGCTGCAGGCGGAAGGTGGCAAGGGAGCAGGATGGAGGCATAGTGTGGAGCTGTGCCACAGTGAGAGCAAGTCAGATGCCAACAAGATCATGAGGGGAGAACTTCCTTAGCTAGGGAGTTCAGAGGAACATCTGGCACCAGGTACCCAGGCCCCTGGGAGAGGCAGCAGGGAGAGGAAGTCTTGGGACCCTCTCACTGAGTCAGATGCAGCGAGAGAAGATTTAGCATTTTTGATTAGGAGCTGATGGAGCTGGCGAGCAGTGATGGCCCCAAAGTGTACCTAACCCTGGAGTGAATTAAGGGTGCTTGATTAGTCAATGAAATTAATTGGACTAATTAATATATTTTGATAAAATCTGGCATAATTTATTCATTTCTGATAAAATTAATTGGGCTAATTGATTTCTTTAATGAACAGTCAATTATGGATGCCTCTTTGATTGAGTTAATTATTGCTGGTGGATTGACCAGGCAAATTAATTGGATGGACTGATTCACTTAGGAACCCATGCCTTGGGAACTCCTTTGTTTGAGCTCACTGAGAATTATTATGTGATGGTCTAAAAAGTGAATTGAGTGATTTGATTTTCCTGAAGAATAATGAAGGATGGACCTTTCTGTTGAGTTTCCCTATTTGGTAGTTGTTTATGAGCCAACGATCAGGTGGGAGCCCAGGTGGCTTAAACCCTAGTCTGAGGTGACATCATTTTTCCCAAGCTTACATTGATTGCATTCAGTGAGCCAGCCTCGTGGGCACACTACACTGTGAGAAGGAGATTAAACACCAGCATAATCTTCAATTAGCATGTAGAAGGCGTGTGAAGGGAGGTGGAGCCCCATATATCACCTTTGTGTGTGATCAGTGCACACTATAATTAATGACCAGGAACCCTCGATCAAGGCATGGCAGGCAGCGAGAGGGTCAGACTTCATGAGTGGGACACGCTGAGGGTAAAATTGTCCAGTCTGAAAAGCCAACACGCCAGGGGTTGGAGTTCCCATGTACTATGGCACAGGTCATACTGGCAGCACCACTCACATAGTAGCAGACTGCTGGCACCCCCTGTAGCTCTGAAATAGAACCCTGCAATAGGACCCTGCTCTAGGCTCCCCCTGGGTACTAGCTCAGAAGACAGCTGTCTCCTGGCAGGGCCTGGGACTTTGCTCCCTGACCCTAGAAGCTGCCCGCTGCCAGGGTGGGTTCTGCCACTGGAACCCGGGCAGGGACAATGTCCCCCTGCCCCAGCAGCAGGGAGCTCCCAGCCCCCACTCTATGATTGCAGGATCTGGACTGGGAGATACTTCCATACCAGCACCAGCCCTGCAGTCACAGGACCCAGGGTGAGAGATCCTTCTCTCCCAGTGACAGGTCTGGGAGAGAAGAGAGCTGGCACAGGGCTGGTGCTGGGAGATCCTTCTATTTGATAAATCAGTAAATGTGATAAATCAATAAATCCATATGAAGAATCTAGTGTTGGCCCTGCAATTACAGAACAGGGGCTTAGAGCTCCCTGCTGCCATGACAGGGGAACATTGTCCCCACCCAGGCTCTGGTAGTGGAGCCTGCCCCAGCAGCAGGCAGCTCCTCAGGGCAAGGAGCAGTTTCCCACCCCCTGCTGCCCAGCTGACTAGGAGCACATTTACTCCCAGTCAGACATCTACATGTGTGCTACTGCGCAGTAAGTAATTTCGAGTAAATTTGCTATTTGCATTTACAGGTAGCACATTTACTTGCAGTTAGAGCCAATTACTGTGCAGTAAGTGTCTGCACTTGTAGATGTGGACATTTACTGCACAGTAATTAGCTCTACTGAAGAGTAAAGTGTCTCATGTAGCTGCTTCCCTTGTTGAATCTTTTTAACAGGAAAAAAATCTTGCCATTGATTTAATTTTTGTTAAAACATCAACAACTTAAAATAAGATATGTTGCAGTAAGCTTTCAAAGGCTTGAGTAATCTGTTTCAGCCAAAATATATGTAGATGCATAATATTTAAAGAATAAAAGCCATCCTAAACTACCTATTTCAACAGGATACCTGTCATAAGGGTTGCAGTGGTCACTTTTACATAAGAAAAAATTGGCTAGGATCAGTTAGTTTTCCTTTCTCTGCTCTTCTGGAACAATCAAAGGTAACATTGTAATATAACATTTAAAAAATGTTTGTGGTATTAACTGAACCACCTAATAGTATTTGATGTAAATAAAAACAAGGCTTTTTATAAACATTTTAACACTGTCAGTAATATGGTCTTCATATAGGATTATGAATGAATCTTATTGTTATGGTAACTCCTGTATGTTTCATCATTTGTTCTTAAGCATTGATCATTTTCCCTGCAAAGTTAAGTAAGCTGATATAAAGATTCTACTTGCATATAAAATTCTACTAGTTTTTCCCTGATGTGAATTGAAGCAGATGGCTGACAGGAGCTTCATTGAGGGGTTTATCAGTCACACACAGTAGCAACATGTAGGGGGTACACGGGGTGCACATGCACCCCGTCAGAGTGCCGGTGTACCCCCTGTCAGGCTGCTCCCTGTTTGGCTGGTGGGCAGGTGGGAGCGCCATTGCCCCCCTGCGAGTGCTGGCTGGGGAGCAGGGCCACCAGCAAAAGTGGCCACTTCTGGAAGTAGCGTGGCCGCTTTTTGGTGAGGGCGATTGGCCATGGGGCCCCTCCCCAGTCAGTGAGATCGGCCACTGGGGGATCCCCCTCCCCTGGTTGCTGACTGGCACCAGTTGCCCATGGTCATACACAATTCCAAGAAAAATGGGCAGCTCAGCCAGACTAATAATTTTATTATATTCAAGCTCCAGACTTTGCTTTTGAGATAGGGGGAAGGAGGAGAAAAATGACCTTCACTGTAGCGTGGAAGAACTATGGGAAAATGCCAAGCTAGTGATCAAGAAAAGAGAAACTGTAATCAGGCAGAGGAACAATCTGATCCTGGCCTGCACAAAAACACTTGAGTTACTTACCCCTAAGCCACTGAAGATACAGATGCTGGGAGTCAATTGCTGTAGTTTATAGTTTCATATCCACATACTTATACAGAAATTACATGCATCTTAGATATTTTCACCGTTTTGCTGACTCTGGCCTCCTTTCTTTGACCATCACTGAAGTCCTTTACTTGTGGAAACAGGTTCCACAACCAACAATCAGTATATTTGTAGACTAAATATGTAGAAATCACATCTAATTGATAACATGTGTTGAACTACTCCTTGTTAGTTTAAATAAAACAATTCCAAATTTACTGCACAACTTCTGTTTCTTTACCTACTTCTGTATTTTGTTAGCTTCTTAGGGTGAAGCTACATGTGCGCTTTAATGAACAGTAACCTATTTTAATAAGTATTAAAGTATCACTAAAAAAACGGTGGGCATTTTTACACATGCTTCCAATGCAGTGCTGGGCGCTTTTAATTGGCAAGCTGTGCTAATTAAAAGTGCCTGCACATCACGTATACCAGCAGCACACTGCGCCTCTATGCTGAAAGTATGACGGCGTTGCACTTTGAACTAAAGCGCATCGAATGTGTTTTAGCTCAAAGCGCACCGCTGTCATTTTCTCAGCATGGAGGTACACTGTGCTACTGTTGTATGTGACACATGAGGCTGCCATGGCGCATCAGTTTACATGCTCTGGTAGACTCAATTAATAGAGTCTGCTCTGATGTGCTGGATTTCCAGCATATTGGAGCAGGCTCCCCACATATGTGTAAGTGCTCCATGCTTTTTAGTTAACGCGTGTTAAAATAGGCTAACGCACAGTAAGTGTCACTTAAAAACTGTACTATTTAGTTAATGCGCATTAGCACAGGCTAATGCACATTTTCCTAGGACTTCACAACGGAGGTACTAGATTGAATGCACATTAACTGAAGTGCATTAATGTGCATGTAGACACGCCCTTAGGGCATTTATGGATGTACTCTGGGAGGCGAGGGAGCACTTTAATGCAGCTCAGAGAGCCACGCTAATTAAAAGCACCTGGAGCGTCATGCATATCAGCATTCCCATGCTGAAAAAAGGCTGGTGGGGTGCTTTGAACTAAAACTCATTGAAAGAGCTTTAGTTAAAGCACCCTGCTTCCATTTTTCAGTGTGGGGATGCTGATACACATGTCTGGAGTCTGCTCTGACACACTAATTACAGAGCTTTGGAGCAGCCTCCCTGAATGTGTATAGGAGCCCTTTGATTTTAAGCATTGTCCCTATTAAGGTAAATGTGATCATCTTGTGTTTTCCTCATATACATTTTCTGGGACTGAAGTCTATATTTATGGTATAAAACTGTCTCCCCACGTAAAGACATTTGCATTTTTTAATCTGCCACATCATATGTCTTCCTAGATAAACTCCCAGATGTTTCTTCTGTTTAAAACTTAAGGAGTGATGTTCTTATCCAAAAGCTCTTGAGTGGAATCCCTGAAAGGAAGACATAAAAATTATAATCTCATTTCAGTGCATTTGATAGAATTTGGATCATTTGAGGTTTTATATTTTAAAATAATGTCTCTCATGTTATTTAATGTGATGTACTTATGTTTTCCCTAATATAATAACCTAGTTATGTTCACAGATCTGTGGGACGTTTCAAGTAAATATGCCACCAGTTTTGCTTGGATACACTTGGAGTAAGACATATGTATCTCCTAAAGAAGAGAGTTGTGGACAGAACTTAAAAGAATACGCCTTTTTAACCATCTTTGCTACAATTGAACCTCAGTTATCATCTGTTGAAAAAGATTCAGAATCTGATAAGGTTGGAAGTTATACTTAGCTAATGAATATGCATATCCAAATTAAGAACTGTAAACAGGGTAAATTTATTTCTTAAAGCAAATTGTCTTTTGCTTATTATTGATTGTTTTCCTCTATATTCTGCCTTGAAATTAGAAATAGTATGACTGTAACTGTAACTATGATTCTAGTTTTTAGATCATGAAGATGAAACACTTCTGCAAAGAGCATATATTTTTAAAAAAAGTTGCAAGGCAAAATTTCCAAAGAGAAGAATAATAACTTCTGTTTTTGACAGCGAAGGAAGAAATGTTTTAGTAACAAAATATATCAAGTCATTAAATCCACCACAACTACTACTGGATATATATCCTGATGATCCTAATGCGACTTTTGTAAGTAGGAGTTTTTACTTTTTATCATACTGTAAGAACTTTCTGAATTGCTGAAATTAATTAATGACATTCAATCCAGAATTACTATAATTTACATTTTTTCTGCTATCGAAGCTCATGCTGTCAAGAAGCACCAATTTAATAAATATGATAAAAAGTTACATTAACTGTAGTTTTACATATTTAAAGAAATAAAACTGATATTCACTCAAATGCTATTTATAAAATACATGATCTGATATTTACATATACTCTCATTTTATTTACAGGACCTTATTTCTCGATTTGTATCTTTAATTCCTTGTATATCAGATACTGTTGATGGAAATGATGATGTTGATATTTGGGTGACCTCTGAGGTAATAATTGTATAATAAATAGATGCAGATGAGTTAATAGGTGGTTGAAGTAATCATTTTTAACTGTATTAAAAATTTTGCTGGAAAAAGATTTTGACTTACAGAGCAAATAGATATATCTTGAATGCTTGCCAGATACAGACCACATAGGTCCTTAGTCAAGCCCATCTCTAGGAAAATGAGTTCCTGTGCTAGGAAACTTAATTTGAATCATTCAGGTTTTGTAATAAAGTGATCTTAAGTTTAGAGGCAGCAGGAGTATCATCTCCAAAATGTGCAGATCCCCAGGTATCCTTGGAGAAAAGATGCTTTATTTTACAGAGGGACCTGTGCCTAACTGTGAGTTCCTATTTCCCCAGCAATACAGCAGTCCTCTTAGTTTCTACACTATACTCTCTAACTATAAGGAGTTGACAACATAGGATTTCTGATAAACACATTTTTTTACTATTTCCTTTTAGCACTGCATCAGTTTAGCTGCTGGAAATAAAGAAGAACATGCAGTACTTCTGTGTAACTACTTCCTATATTTTGACAAAAAAGCATGGGTTCTGTTGGGAACATCTTTGTTAGAAGTAAGTGCACTGTTTAAGAAGGGCTTACATATTTGTTGATTTCATCCCTTGCAACAACATAAACTATATAATGTGTTAGACTAAAATACACATTTGTCATATCAGACTATTTTGTCTAAGGCATTTAGTCCAGCATCCTGTCTTCTAGAGAAGCTAGTACCACTTGATAAAAGGAAGGTAATGAGAAGTCTCATTATGGACATAGTGAATAATATGCCTCGAGGGATATTTCTTCCTTAATTCTTTAATCTTTTGAAAGTCCTACCAACCACTTTCCTTCAGTGAGTCCCTCAGGTTAAAGATGTTAGTAAAAGTGTTTATACCACCAACTTTAAATGTATTGCCTTTCAGTTCTACTGTATTTCCCCATATTTTTGTTTGATGAAGGTAAGGTAAGTAAAAACCCCATTTTCTTCTCTTGCATTTTTTATTTTCTGTATCCCTTGTGGTTTCTCTACTCAACTCCAGTTTAAATTCAGCAGGTTCATTATTTCAATCTAATTCAGTCACTTTATTCATATTTGAAATGAAAATTAATATCCTTGTGAATAAGTTATATTCAAAATACGCCTTCTTTTTACAAGGTAAAGGAATATTCATGAGGGAGCCCTTACCTATGCTGCACCTGTTCTATCAGTAAATAGAAAATTGCACTCCTGTAACTTTCACATAAGAAAAAGGAACTAATTGTAAAATTAGTTCTTTTTACTACAAAGAAGGGGCATCTTTAACAAAACTTCATAGTTGCATTGCAAATGAGTAAAAAAATGGAACATTAGCTTATCTTACTTTCTTCCTTGGTGTTTTGTCTATTTGATGATATTTGCTCTTTGTTGATCCAGGGAAAAGTAGCATATGTCTTGACTCTGGAAAATGGAGAATATTTCCTTTGGAATCCCCTGAATGGACAGTGTTACAAACCATTTGATGCATTTTGTCCCTTACAGAGCGTTGACTGCTTAATTGATTGGGAAAATGTAAGTATGTTTGAAAAAAAAAGCCAAGAATAGTTTCAAATTATGTATAGGCAAAGTGTGAAGCAGTATTTTAAGACAGAACTGTCCAACTCATGGCCTGTGAGTTGAAAGGTTAACTTGTAGTCCACAGCTTCCAACCTGGCTGCTGCTTCTGCCACTACTCCTTTGGCTGCTTACTGGGGTCTCTGGGTTCCCTTTCACTCCTCCAGCTTCTGCTTACTGTCTCACCCATGGCATGAGATGTCATGACCCAAGTGGTAGGGAGACTAGAGAAGTTTGTACAGCCTGTGTGGTCATAGTGAGTTGTGGCAGGGGTCCTGGAGAGTCTGTGTGGCCCAAGAGGCCTGTGTACAGCTCCTGGTGATTCAAAAGTTGAACAGACCTGTTTCAAGGGATCAAGTAGAATAGCATAAACTTGACAAAGAATAAAAAATTAAAGATATTCATATGAGAGAGAGAGAAATGGGACCAATTTTTGGTGGGAGCCTGTTGCACCTCTAAGAGTGAAGACCTCCGGCAGACCTCTCCAGTGGATGCCAACTTGACCCACAGTGTGGAGCTGGGAGGTAAGTGGGGTCCATGATGGGTGGGTTCTAGCTAGAGGGGGAAGCTGAGCAGAGTTGAGGAGGATTATGCCTGTCTCCCTGGCTCCTACTTAGCCCAGCCCCCAGGGAACTGAGAGACCAGAGCCATGCAAACAAGTGCGCTCTGGGCCTGGTGTGTGCGAGTTAGTGCAAGAGTTTGGGGAAGGGGGGGGTACTTACTGGCCCCCTTCTCCAGTGGGACAGGCTGGTAGCTGGTCCCTGCAAGCGGAGTGCTGTAATCTTGTGCATCGTGAGATCTTGCAAGATTTGTTATCAGCCTCGAGAGTTAAAAGTTTTCAAAGGTCCCAATGGAAGTTTTTCTTCAGTTAGGACCAGATCTTGGTGGGAGATGCATGAGTGCAAGCCCATTCCGCCCCTAAGAGCAGAGACCCCCGGTGGACCCCTCCGGCAGACCCCAACCTGACCCCCAGCGTGAAGCTGGGAGGTAAGTGGGGCCCACGGTCCGTGGTCACTAGCTAGAGGGGCCAGCTGAACGGAGCCAAGGAGAGTCATGCCCCCCTGGCTCCTACTTAGCCCAGCCCCCAGGGAGCGATGCAAACAGGCTCACTCTTGGCCCAATGTGCGCAAGTTAGCATAGGAATTTGTGTAGAATGGCATGCAAAAAGGTTATCAGTAGGGCACTTTTGGTCCTGAGTTGCCTCCTACTTGCCCCACACATGGCACAGCAAACCCTGTGCCTACTGCACCCCCAGGCAGCAGGAGCCCCCCTACACTGAGGATAGTCCTCTGGTGCTGGATATCAGGTAAAGGGGACGAGGGATCAACCCTTCCCTCAACCCCACTCCTTAGGGACCTGGGGACCCAGGGAATCCCCCTGGCTGTTTGGCAAGCCAGGTAGCTATGAGATCCCCCTACAGGCAGCTGCTTGAACCTGCCTGCCAAGCTGCAGCAGCAGCAGCTGGTGAAGATCACAGGGTGCAATAACACCCACCTGGTCTCCCATGTATGCAAACACCTGGGGAACTGTGTGACCAGAGCTTGCCCTGCAATATGGTTGCTACACACCGCACACCCAGGTGTCCTGTCCTTGATGGACCACCTTACCCCCCACCCCGGTACCTTGGAGGCCTCCACCCAGACAGAGCCTATGGTTCCATCCTCCATGCAGATGGAGCCCTTGACTCCAGGCTGTGATGGCTGCCTGGCACATCTGCTGGATGCTGGGGTTAGGGTCATGAGCGCTCCCACTTGTGGGATGTGCTTGCTGCTGGAGACTCTGGAAGGCCGAGTGAGGGAGCTACAGGAGGAGGTGGATGGGCTACAGACCATCAGGGAACATGAGGCAAAAATTGATGCCTATTGGCAGGCCTTGAATCTGGAGAAGGAGGCCATGGAGACCAGGCAGGAGTGCGGGCCTGAACAAATGCCACAACCAATAGTGGGTAGACAGTCATGATTTCAGGATTGAAGCCATGATGTGCATCAGTTGTCCCACCAATACCCTGCATAACAGCTACAAAGCCCTCACACCATCAATGGTCAGTGTATCCATACAGGATCAACTGACCTCAGCAAGGAAACAATATAGGGTAATAGTCATAGGAGACTCCCTGCTGTAGGGCACAGAAGGAGTCATTTGGTGGACAGGCCCCTTCGCTTGAGAGGTCTGCTGCCTTCCAGAAGCCAGGATCAGAGATATTATGGAAAGGATCCCTAATTTGGTTCGCCTTACTGACCACTACCCTATGCTCCTTGTTCACGTAGACACCACTGGTACAGCGAGAAGTAGCCCTGGGAGAATCATGAGAGATTACAAAACCATGGAGGTGAGGCTCAAGGACCTAGGTGCACAAGTGGTCTTCTCCTCAATCTTCCCAGTCAGAGGCTGTGGCCATCGAAGGGAGGAGTGCATCGAGGAGGTCACCCAAAGGCTTCGGAGATGGTGTCACTGTGAGGGCTTTGGATACCTCGTCCTTGATATGCAGTTTTAAGTACAGCATTCTATATGCAAGGGACAGTATTCACCTCACAGGCAGAGGGAAGAAGCTCTTTGGTACCAGTCGCTGACTTGTTGAGGAGGGCTTTAAACTAGGCACGTCTGGGGGCTGGGGAGAAGGTTCCACTGCTGTGCATGAATCTTTTAGCCACAATGACACACAGGAGGGTGCTCAAGCAATGGACATCCGGATAAGTACTTGCGTCTTGAGACACAGATGGCATAACAGAAAACCTGAGGCAACCAGGGGGGAACTCAGGTACCTTTATGGGAATGACAGAAGCATGGACAAACAGGAGAAACTGGTGCTCCTTCTGGTTGACAAGGATTTCAATCTAATTGGGTTGATAGAGACCTGGTGGGATGACACACATAATTGGGCAATCAATATTGAGGGCTACAGGCATTACAGGAAGAGTCAGGTCAGGAAGAAGGGAGGTGTGGCCCTCTATGTGAAAGAGCAGTACCCCTCTTTCACTAGAGAAGTTTGTACAGCCTGTGTGGTCATAGTGAGCTGTGGCAGGGGTCCTGGAGAGTCTGTGTGGCCCAAGAGGCCTGTGTACAGCTCCTGGCGATTCAAAAGTTGAACAGACCTGTCCTGTTTCAAGGGATCAAGTAGAATAGCATAAACTTGACAAAGAATTGACAAAGAATAAAAAATTAAAGATATTCATATGAGAGAGAGAGAAATGGGACCAGTTTTTGGTGGGAGCCTGTTGCATCCCTAAGAGTGAAGACCTCCGGCGGACCCCTCCAGTGGATGCCAACTTGACCCACAGTGTGGAGCTGGGAGGTAAGTGGGGTCCATGATGGGTGGGTTCTAGCTAGAGGGGGAAGCTGAGCAGAGCTGAGGAGGGTTATGCTTGTCCCCCTGGCTCCTACTTAGCCCAGCCCCCAGGGAACTGTGTGACCAGAGCCATGCAAACAGGTGCGCTCTGGGCCTGGTGTGTGCGAGTTAGTGCAAGAGTTTGGGGAAGGGGCGGGTACTTACTGGCCCCCTTCTCCAGTGGGACAGGCTGGTAGCTGGTCCCTGCAAGCGGAGTGCTGTAATCTTGCGCGTCGTGAGATCTTGCAAGATTTGTTATCAGCCTTGAGAGTTAAAAGTTTTCAAAGGTCCCAATGGAAGTTTTTCTTCAGTTAGGACCAAATCTTGGTGGGAAAGAGCAGTACCCCTCCCTGAATCTGACAGCAAGAAAGGGTCCCTTGAGACCCTTTGGGTCAGGATACAAGGGGGACCAGGAGAAGGAGACCTCATCATGGGTGTCTACTACAGGCCTCTCTCCCAGGAGGAGGAGTGCAATCAGGCATTCTCTGGCATTAAGTGCACCAAGCTGAGTGAGGCAGTTTGCACTAGAAACATGATTGTCATGGATGACTTCAACTACGCTGACATCTGTTGGGAGGACCACTTGGCCACTTTCAGCAGGTCAGCCAATTTTTTGGCAACAATAGATGGTTTGTTTCCGACGCAGGTTGTGAAAGGGCCTACTAGAGGTAAGGCCACTCTGGATTTGGTGCTGACCAAGGGGAAGGACATCATAGACAACCTGAGAATTGGTGGTACTCTGGGCCACAGTGATCACAACCTGATAAGATTCGCCATCCACCGTAAGACTGGGAAACCAGTCAGCAGAACAGAAGTTCTAGATTTCAGGAAGGCAGATTTTGGCAGGCTCAAGAGGCTGGTAGAAGAGGCCCTCTGCGACCAGCAGCTGAAGGATTTGGGAGTCCAAGAACAGTGGTGCTTCCTTAAGGAGGCAGTTGTCACAGCTGAAAAACAGGCCATCCCCACATGGATGAAAAGCAGGAAAAGAACCAAGAGACCCACTTGGTTCAACAAGGTTATTAGGGTGCTATTGAAAAAGAAAGAAGAAGCATATAAGTAATGGATCAGCTACCAGAGAGGAATATGTCTGTATCACCAGGGACTGCAGAAACAAGACAAGGACAGCTAAGGCAGGCATGGAAATCAAGCTGGCAACCAGCATAAAAGACAACAAAAAGTCATTTTACAGATGCATAGGAAGCAAGAAAAAATTGGGGTCCATTGTTGGCCCCCTACTGAATGCTCAGGGGCAGCCCACAGTTGACTCCCAGGAAAAGGCAGAACTCCTAAATACATACTTCATGTCAGTATTCCTGAAAACAAACAGGAGCTGTTTGCCTGACCACAGGCCCGGGGAATGAGGAGAAGACAGCAGATTACATTAAATCAGTCCTGAACAGGTGAGGGATCTCCTACAACACCTGTATGCTTTCAAGTCTGCTGGGCCAGATGACCTGCACCCGAGAGTCCTGAAAGAACTGGCTGAGCTGATAGCAGCACCACTGGCTAAGCTGTTTGAAGAATTGTTGAATTCAGAAGTGCTCCCGGACAACTGGAAGAGGGCCAATGTGGTGCCCACCTTTAAGACAGGGAAGAGGGATGACCCAGCAAACTACAGACCTGTCAGCCTGACTTCAGTCCTGGGTAAAATCTTTGAAAAATGTGTTAAGGAGGCCATCAATCACAAGCTGGCAACTGTATGGGGTGTTGCAAAGCAACCAGCATGCCTTTTTTGAGGGTAGATCATGCCTGGCTAACCTAGTGTCCTTCCACAACCAAGTAACTGGCCATCTGGACGAGTGACATGAGATTGACATCATTTACTTAGGTTTCAGTAAAGACTATGACTCCATTTCCAATGAGATTCTCTCAATCAAACTGGAGGGTACTGGGCTGGACCAGACTACAGTGAGGTGGGTGGACAACTGGTTTAGAGGCCACTCCCAGAGAATTGTAATCGATGGGATGGCCTCATCCTGGAGGCCCATCTCCAGTGGTATCCCCCAGGGATTGGTGCTTGGACCTGTGCTCTTTAATACATTTATTAATAACTTGGATGTGGGGGTGGCAAGCTCAATGATTAAGTTCACAGATGATACCAAGCTATGGGGAAACCCAGGCATACCAGAGGATAAGGCAAAGATTCAGGATGACCTTGACAGACTGGATTCATGGGTGGAATGAAATCAGATGAGGTTTAACAATGAGAAGTGCAAAGTCCTTCATCTGGATAGAAAGAACCCTCACCATAACTATACGATGGGTGGTAGTCCATTGGTTGAAACAGCATCTGAACAAGACCTGAGGTCATGATTGACCAGAAGATGAATATGAGTCAACAGTGTGATGAGGTTGCCAGAAGGGTAAACAGAACTCTGCCATGCATCAGCCAATGTGTGGCCAATAGATCCAAGGAGGTGCTCCTCCCTCTCTATTTGGCATTGGTGAGACCTCATCTGGAGTACTGTGTCCAGTTATGGGCACTGCACTTCAAGAAGGATGTGGATAAGCTCAAGAGGGTGCAAAGAAGGGCCACACTATGGTCAAGGGTATGGAAGATGGGCTCTATGAGGAGAGACTCTGGGAACTGGGTCTGTTTAGTTTGAGTAAGAGAAAACTGAGTGGCGACTTGATAGCCGCCTATAAGTACACCAGGGGTGAGCACCAAGAACTTGGAGAGCAATTCTTCAAGAAGGCATCTCAAGGGAGGATGAGGACCAAGGGCATAAACTCATAGGGCACGTCCACACATGCAAGCACATGCACCTGAAGCAGCTCAAATAGAAGTGGTGCAAATTTGAGCTGAGGCTTTTTGCTTCAGTGCACGTGCTTGGACATGCACTTTGTTGTGGAGCAAATTATGCCACTTGGGGCAAAATAATCCTGCGTGGCTCCTCCTGGATCTTCAGCCAGGGGCAGTAGAGCCCAGGGCCAGCACCTGTGCTGTCCCCAGCAGTATAAAAAGCTGACCTGTCCTGGCCTCAGCAGTATAAAAAGCCACCCTGGCAAGTAGCTCAGGGCTACTAGCTCTCAGGAGCTTCTGAGGCCCAGCCAATTGGTACCTGGGGACACTACCCCTTGTGTCAGCTGGACAGCTGAAGCAGCCCCGAGAGTTCCCTGCACCCTCTACCCAATGCAGCAGTCTGGCAGTGGGGGCTGCTGCCTGGCTGTGACCTGCTGTGCACCTGCCAGACTCGGATGGGGACTGCAGAACCAGTAGAAGCATCTGCCCCTCTGGGCCAGCTGCCAGTGGACTGCAGTTGCAGGGTTGGCCTTTGTGCAACACTACTGCTATTTGTGCCTCCTACCCGGCCATCTGGGCAGCAGGTGAGGTGGTTCACCTGAAGAGGTTCTGTGTGTGGTGGCCTGCTTTGAACTGTCAAAGCATGTCCTCCTGGCCCCATTTGTTCAGGAGGTCAGCCACAGCCAGCTGGGTCCAAGGTGCCAGCTCTGAGCAGGCCGGTCCTGCCACTGGCCTCCCTAGCAGGAATTCTGGTGTTCCCTATTGGAAAACTGAAAAATCCCTGATAAAAAAAATCCCAAAGTCACTCTCTAAAATACCCGCAAATCCATATTCCTCCACAAGTAAAACAAAAGACCACTATAAAGAAAGAGAGAGAGTGAGAGACAGAGACAGCGATCAGTTGGACAATGTTTTATTGATATATCTTACAGTGTTAAAGCAAGTCTCTTATTATAATAATAAAGTGACCTCTAAATACATGTTGATTGAGTGAAGGTGCTTTAACATTAATTTTATTTCATTTTAAGTATTCGAAGCATCTCAAGTCTATACACCAGAACCCTTCAAGTATATGTTTCATTCTGTATTGTTTTGAATCTTGACTTCAGTGAGAAACAAAAACATTTTTCCATAAGGAGTTCCTAATGTCTTAAAGAGAAATATTAATTGGTAGTTAAGAAAACAGTTTTAGCAGCAAATTGGGTGGAGTTAACATAAAATGATCTATACTGTACAATCTATCTGTTAATTTGAAATAATTGATTAATTACTACTGTATTTTTGTTGGGTATTCATTCAGATATTGTGTGTGTGTATATGTACATGTGTATTTATTAGGGTTGTGCAAAGCTTCGGTTCCTGATTTGATTTGGCGGAGATTTGGCTCAATTTGGTGGCTGAATCTCCGAATCCAAATTGAATCAGAGGACCCTTTAATCTCTCTGAATCAAATCAGAACCCTCTGAATCAATTCAGAGAGATTTGGAAAGATTCAGCAATTCGGACATGGACACGGCTTTAAATGTTTTTTCTATATACTTCTAGGTAGAGGTGACTCGTGAATGCTGCAATGCCTGGGCGCATGGAGTGTCCCACAGAATTGCGGGGGGCTCCCCAGCACGCTCGGCAGCAGACCCAGAAGTGGAAGCACTTCTGGTCCACTGGGGAGAGCATGGCCCCCCCGGTGTTCCTTCGGCTCAGTGCCTGGTGCCTCCTGGGTCTGCGGGGGGACCCCAGGTCCCCCCGCAGCCAATAACCAAGCTGCAGGGGTGCACGGGGGGGGCCCTGCGCACTCCCTGGCAGACCCAGAAATGGACCAGAAATACTTCCGGTCCACTTCTGGGTTCACTGCCGAGCACGTGGGGCTCCCCCCACGCTCCTGTGAGACACTCCATCTGCCCCAGAATCACAGCATTCATGAGCCACGCCTGGTACCTCAAGGTATGTAGAGAAAACATTTAAAGCTGTGTCTGTCTGAATCACTGGTTCTCCGAATCAGCATCGAATCTTCAGATTCAGATTTGGCCAAATTGAATTGGGGACAGCGATCCGAATGAACTAATCGAATCATTGTCTCCAGTTTGGGCCAAATCTGAATCGAATAGGGCCCGTTTTGCCCACCCTTAGTATTTACATGCGTATAAGAGTTAATTCTAATACAGTAATGTCTATTCTATATTTTATCTTTGAATGAACTCCTAACAAATATACAGAAGTAATTCATCAGTTCTTTCCTACTAAGGAGCTACATAACATTAGGTACTGGTGAAATTTGATGTGCGTGTTTATCTGAAAACCATTTCAATATAATAGATTTAGGGGGGGAAACATTCCATAGACTGACATTTGAAATTAATGTATAAAAAAGCTCTGACTATATTCTTTTTAAACCTATCTATACATGAACTAGATTTCTGTATTATAACAGAAGTTTCTATTTATGAAATCCAATACAACACATAGTGGGGTCAGACTAGATTAATTTATCCCATTGAGTTTACATTATTCACTTTCATATTTTGTAATTGATAATCATAATTGGCCCATTTCTTGCAAGTCTTCTGTGTATACATTTTCCATTTGATTTCTTTAGGTGTTTCCAATATCAGTGCCTTTATACAATCTGGCCCTTGTGTAGACACATCTAAAATTAAAGATACTATTTTATAATATATTTCATTTTACATTTTTTAATTGAAAGCCACATTTTAGATTGTTAATCAGATTTTACATTGATGTTTTGATAGGTCTGGTTCAACACACAGAGAAACAGTTCACCAGTGGATGTAAACTTTGACATTTCAAAGGAAGGGTTTTGGAAACAGTTGCTGCCATACAATTATCAACACAAAATAACACAAACTGTACAGGTAACTTCTTCAAATTCTAATCTCAGTTAATATAAATCACAGCAGTAATTATCACTTGTTATGTTTGTTTCAAAAGACCACAATTACTAATAACTTACCCTAACAAATTGACAGTTTGCCTGAATAACACAGCACTGTAAACAGCAGTTGATCCTGCTGAGAAAAGGTCATGTGGACTGTGTTGATCCAGGAGCAGGTGACTAGTTACTTCATCTGAATGTATGTACTTTGGGAATGACTTTCTAGTAAAAAGATTTGGGATGTGCCTTAGTAAATAGATCTAAGGAGGAGGTTTGAGATTAATCTTGTCACCTTTTGGTAACAAAAGCAAATAAGGTAGGCTGTGAGAGGCACTTGCTTGTTTCCACTAAAGCAGTAAAAGCAAATGGGTCATATTTATGTCTACTGCTGATGCTCATGTCACGTAAATGAAGGATTATGGGAGGACTGTGTTTACATGCCAAGGTGACAGAAAGCTTATCTTGTCCCTGCTCTGATCATATGGCTGTTATGTACAGGACTCACTTATTCTTCAGGCATACATTAGAAGAACCTCATAATTACTCTGATTTATGTGTCATATTGAATGAAATAGTTTGAATGTTTGTAAAGGTTGCCTATTAGCCAGTTTCAGGAAGAAGATAAGATTTATCTCCTTATCTAGCTCATTGTTTTTGGGACTACGTGCAAAAGGTCCTGACTGCTTAAAGTCTTAATTTAAATTTTATCTTTAGAAGTCTTTTACAAAGAGAGCAAATATCCTGAGTTCCGAGAGATCAAACCCTAAGGCCTTTTAACAAGATTGGTAAGAAAAGGGCGTTTGCAGTGATATGGAAGTTTCCCAAAGGTAATTTCAAAAGAATCTGTTGAGTAAGATCCGAGCCCAAATTTGGGGGTAATGACAGGTTGAGTAGGAGGAGCCCATCGACGGCAGCTCACTCAATAAAAACTGTAACTTACTGTCCCAATTTGGAGGTGACTTCACTTGTAGAACAACGAAGGAAGAATCGCAAGTGTAGGCCGGATCAGACTGATCACCTGAACGACCCTCTCCGTGAACACGAATCTCTTAGTTCACGCTGAAGCTGCAGAGCGCCCGAAAGGGACTGAAGGAAGGGGACTTAGTCCTATCACTGCTGAGCCCAGCTCATTGAATCGTATTGCTGAGGCCAGCCTATTGAATTGTATTGCTGAGGTGAGCCCATTGAACCGTACTCCTGAGGCCAACCCATTAAATTGTACTACTGAGGAATGAAAACATATTTTGGTATTTGGCTTCTCGGAATTCGAGGATTGTAAGTATATTATGAAAAATAATAGTATTGATTCAAATTTAACTTTTAGTTGTAATTGTAGTTGTTTTTGTAACACTAATTCTTATAGCATTGTTTGGGAAGGAAGTGCATTCGGAGCATTGTTTCTGATATATGTAGTTATTGTGTTCTTAATGTTTGTGGTGTTTCTTAAAGCTAAGCAGTGTTATATATGTAGCAAAGAGTTTTAAAATAAAATTGTGTTGTATGAATTAAGTGTGTAATCATTGTGAAATCGTGCAATCAGCTAACTACTCCCCCAGCCAGTGCATCAAAACGAATCAGTAAATTGTGTGGGATTTTCTCTATTCCATAACCCACTAGAGACATTATGCACCCTTAACAGCTCCAAAGGACACTAATTACAATGAAGGTTTGGTGCACTATATGGAAGTTTTTGCCATGATCATTCCTTCCAACCATACACTCTGTCAGCAGTAGGGAAAATATAGAAGCCTCTTGGCCAGTGGGGTGATCCTCCTAGGCTCAAAATTGCTTATTCTCTTTGAACAGCTTGCACTATGGTTATACTCCATTTAGGCCAAATCCATGGTTATACTCCATTAGGCTAAATTTCTGACTATATCTGAGATATATATTTGGTACCTAAAATATTTCTTATACCATTTCAGCCAAAAGAAATACTTTACACCCCTACTAGCAAAAGCATGGTGGAAGAACTCCAGAACAGGTATGGACTTTTTAAAATATTAAAAACACATGTACTTATTCGGATCTGAGTCTGGTCAGCACTTCAGGAAATCTGTTCTATGGTCCTTTGCTTTCCTAACCCAATTTATCTTCTCAGAATTACCTGCTAGCAGAATTCCCTCAAATCTCAATTCTCCAAATACCAGCCTTTTCTTTTTTAGCTAAACTAGACAGACACTGGAGGTGTTTTTACAGGTGCTCTGGGGGGCAGGGGGAGGTGCCGCTCTAATTAAAGCGCCCACAGTGCATCTTGTACCCATGTCCCTGCACATCTAAATGGTGGTAGGGGTGGTTTAACTAACGCTTGTTGGACAAACTTTAGTTAGTGTCCCTGCTGCTATTTTGAAGCACAAAGATACTGATACACAAAATGTGGAGGCTGGTTGGAGTGCACTAATTAGCATGCTCACTGACATCCTGTCACACTTTTAGCTTCTTTCATTTCTTGGAGTCTCAGAACAGCAGAGACTTCCTATGCTTGAACAAGGGTGACTGCACCCGAAAGCTTGCTAAGAACTTTTTTCCAACTACTCAGTTGGTCTAATAAAAGATATCACATCTACTCAAAGAACCTTGCCTGCCTATGTCCTTAGACCAACATAGCTACAACCAAAAACTCAACTTAATGGGTCCCTGGCATTTTGTTAAATTTAACTACTGAAACACCTTGTAACCTTTATCTCAGGATTGAAAAGACCTTAAAAAATAAAATAATGGAGTGGCGATTTCAACAACCAACTAGGTGGCATCGGCAATGCACTGCTCTCCTAAGGCAAATTCTTCCAAAGTTAGAACTTAGACATAGGACCACTGTTACAGACAAAGAAGAAAATGAATTGGAAAGTTTACTGGAACGTTATTGGGTTAGTATTTATATTACGTTATTGAAATTACTAACAATATTAAAAGATGTTAAATTATGGCTATAAAAGTAAAAAGTGTTACTTAGTATTAGAAACTGTGTATATATTAGGAAGGTAACGTATATATAAATAGCTATGAAAATAATTACAGATGCCTATAAAATTATCAAACATCTTTTAATAGTTTTATTTTAACCTTTGCAGCCTAATTATAAACAAGGATATAATAATGACCAGCTATATAAGAAAACAAAACCTTAACTTTATATACTCCAAACAAGAGTTGTAAGCTTACATTTGTCCCTAATTATTATTTTGACATAACATGCGGAAAACTATGTTTGTCAGAATGCAGCTTCTAATTGATCTCACATTTGAAAATTATCTCCTGATATTCCTCTTCCAAACATTACTGCTTTATTTCTAGCTACATGACAGGCAGAAGTTAGGGTAGAATGGCTTAGAGACCAGCTAGTTTAGCGGGGCTGAGCTTTCATAGGTAGCAACCTACTTTGTCAAGTAAATGCTTATACCTCTGTGAACCAGTTAGTCTCCACGGGACCACCCTGCTCTACCTTGTGTCTGACTTCAAACTAGTTTTACAAGTGTATCATGCTTTAGGAAGATGAATTTGGGCTGATAAAGAGATTGAAGCCTAATCTGATAAAGAGACTAGTGGTCAAAATTTAGCACTTAACTGCAGACTGAGCACCTTAAATTCTGAAGTGTTATTTTTGAGATGTCACAGTTCAAAAAAATATGAAAGACCACATCCTGTTTCACTGTTTAAATGTGATCCTATTCCAGTGTGCTTATGTCCCTGAAAAATCATGAGCGTAAAAGGTGGCTGGGTTCTTTTCATTCACAGTGCTTTTTCTGACTTAGACTTATGGTTAAGATGAAGGCATGTTACAAAACTAACAGTTATTGTCTTGACCAAATTAAATGCTTAAGTGCCACTTAGATACCTAAGAGGTAGAATAGAATCAGGTCCTAAATATTTCCTGGGTCGAATAAAATAAAGTCATACCAAACAGATGTAGCTAATATACCTTTTTTAAATATAGGAAATACAAATATTCTAAATGCAGGTTTGAAATATTTACTCTGAAATAACACAAAAGCCACATGCAGGTATTATGTTTCTACTGGGAGAATCACAGCTCTCCTGGTAGAAAGCATGAGTGTACAGACATTCAGTTTTTTTCAGAATAAAAATAGTGATTCTGGGAGAGAACCATCTCCAAACTGGCAGAGGTCACTTCAGGGAGAGTTTATCCCAGAAAAATAAACTTCTGTACACTTCCCTAACATTTGACTCCTCCCAGTCCCCAAGTTCCCTAGGACCAAGGTCACCTTGGTCTGGAGAAAGTGCAGGGGGCCTTTTGCTTCTATAGACCATGGTCTGAAGAGAAAGCAGGGTGCTTTGCCTTTCAGCTCCAGTCCCTCCAGGAGCAGATATTTTGATACCTTTCTAGAAATATCCATCCAGCCCAGTAATTGCTACTGACATTATAGTTACATTTATGGAGCTATAAAAATGGTTACAGAGATGAAAAATATTGACAAAATCTGTCATCTGCAGGGATCCTGGTTTTATTTGTTTAAAAATTATCTGATAAATATCACAAATTCTCTGATTTAAAAACCCAAATTCCACATTTTTATGCGATTAAAATGAAATGTCACTATATTTATAAGTATCAATTGAGCACAGTGGTTTTTGGATATATTTACAATTTTAAAGCATTTGAAAGCTTACCATTACCTCAATCATTATAATAAAATAAATTCTAAATATTTTGGCATTTGATTTTGATTTTTTTATCAGGGAAAATTGGAACTCCCCCTACCCCCTTTGCTCACCACGACATGGGTCTGGCTGAGGTTGTCTCTCTCACTGCTTTATGGCACTGAGCAGCCCTTATATGCTCATGCCCTGCCCCTGCCCATTCCATTGCCCTTCACTCCCAAACCATAGCCCCCCCAACCCTCCTGGTGTCCCTCACTCTTGGCCCACACTCCCCTGGCCCTTCCAGTTCCCTTCACGCCCAACCCACATCTCCCCAACCCCCCAGACCTGCTGGTGCCCCTCACCCCTGACCCACAGCTCCCTGGTCCTGCCAGTGCCCTTCACTCCCAACCTACAGCCCCCTGACTCTGCTGGTGCCCCTCACTTCCAACCTGCTGCCTCCCCCAGCCAATGTATGAGGAAGAGGGTGGGTATGTAGGGAAGGGAGTGTAGGCACAGGTGAGGGGATATAAAAGTATAAAAGACCACATGTGAGGGGATGGGGAGGGAACAGGCAATGTGTGTGTGTCGGGGGGTGCCAGACCAGCTGGCCCAGAACAGTTCTGGTCAGGAGCCGCCTTCACAGCCCAGTGAGTGGGACTGAATGCAGGAGAGACTGCCGCACTGCCTTGGCCACCAAGGTGAGGCACGGCGGCAGTGGTGCAGAGTTGTGGCCCCCACTGCTGTTGGGTGGGCAGGGGGAACCTCACCTGGATGGCCATGGCAATACAGTGCTCCCTCCTATGCCAGATCTCACCCACTGTGCTATGGAGGCAGCTCCTGCCTGGAGCTGGTCCAGCCTGGAAACAGCCTCATGCCCTGTGCCCCGCTGTGGGCACAGAAATCTGGGGGTGGCCTGTGCCCCCTCGACTCGTAATTCATCACCTGTGTCCTCTCAATCCCCATAGTTACCTGGAGGGAGCTGTAGGGGCTGCTTTCTACCACCCTGCCTGGCTGACATGCATGTGTGCCCATGTACAAGCACATGGTGCCCCCACTGTGTTCTGCTCCTCCCAGCCCCAAGTAGCCTCTTGCAGCCCTGCTTTTCTCTTTTAAAGTAGAAAACCTGTTATTTTACAGGAGAAAATCTGCATTTTTCTCTCTTAAAGGAGAAAATCCATGTTTTCGTAGTGCTTAGTTTCATAGCGCTTAGGGCTGGAAGGGACCTAAACAGATCATCAGGTCCGACCCCCTGCCCTGGGCAGGAACGAGTGCCAGGGTCGTAACACCCTAGCCAAATATCTGTCCAGCCTCCTTTTGAAGACACCCAAGGTAGGAGAGAGCACTACCTCCCTTGGGAGTCCATTCCAGAGCCTGGCAGCCCTAACTGTAAAGTTGGCCATACCCCTTCCTGCCTCAGGCTGCTGCTGCTGTTGCCACCTCACCTCCACGGGGGGGGTTTCTCTTCCATATGCCACTGCCCCCCCTCAGGGTGGAGCCTACCACATCCCCACTGCACTGTGCTGCAGCCTGATGTCCAGCCTGAATCTTCTCTCTAACAATTTGTGGCCGTTATTCCTAGTAACCCCAGGTGGTGCCTGGGGGAACAGAGCCTCACCCAATTCCCACTGGTCTCCCCTGGTGAGTTTTCCTGTTTTTTTTGCATGGCAAAGGAAAATCTGGATCTCTGGTCATCTGTACCTGTTTAACTTGTATGAAGTCTTGTTTTCCCCTTTTTCTAGCTTAGTGAAATCCAAAGAAAACCTGGAACATATAAACTTTTCACTTAAAATCTTCAGTATGTTAGATATTAGGAGTCCCCTGTGGTTCAGTGGTAGAATCCTTGTCTACCACATAGGACACCTGGGTTCAATTCCCAGACACTTATACAACTATAGCCATGGAGGCATGAATGCTGTATGTCTCCAGAGGCTGGGGGGGCACAGCAAGCTATATATATATATATATATATATACACACACACACACTATATTTAAAAACATTAAATTAAGACTCTTTAAAAAATATATTTTTAAATATTTTCATAATCCAGATATCATATTTTCGCTCTCCCTGAGTGAGAATCTGTGCTACAGCTCTAAAAAGCATAGTATACAATTGGAGCGGGGGAGACTAAAGTGTTTTAAAGCCACTTTTGTGCTCAAACAGTAGGCCTGTGCAAATAGGGAAGTATTCGATTCAGATTTGGTCAATTTGGATTACTGTCTTGAATCGATTCTGCCGAATCAGCTTTGGAAGATTCAGCGCTGATTCAGAGAGATTTAGATCAGCCAGGGAGAGGCAGGCACAGCTAGGCAGCTCCTCCGGCTGTGCCTCCCTCTTCCTGGGTGGAGGGAGCCATGGGAGAAGCCCCCATGGCTGCCCTTTCTGGCCCCACCCTCCCGGCAATTTAAAAAAAAAAGAAAAAGAAAAGGCCCGTGCTCACCGGCTCTGGCAGCAGGGATCAGGGCCTCTGGGCACTCATGGAAGACCCCTTCCCTCCCCACAGCACAAGGCAGTGGGGGGCAGCGGGGATTGCCCCTCCCCGCCTGACACCTGCATAGTAGCTGCCTCATGGCTCAGGTGTAGTGCACCTCAGCAGGGCACTGCATGCTGCCTGGGAGCTGAGGCCACTGGGGCTGAGTGCTGCCGGGCTCCAGCTGACAGGTGGAACCACCCCAGCTCCCAGACAGTGCATGACACCCTGCCGAGCCATGCTGCACCCATGCCATGAAGCAGCTGCTGTGCGGGTGCCGGGGGTCCATCCCCACTGTCCCCAACTCCCTCACACTGCATGGCGGGGCTCTGCCATGAACATGCAGAGGCCCCAATCACCTCTGTCAGAGCTGGTGAGGGCAGGGCTTTTTCTTTTTTTTTTTTTTTAATTTCTGGGAGGCTGGGGCTGGGCAAGGCAGCCATCGGGGGCAGGGCTGGGCCGGAGGGGCAATTGGGGAGTGGGGATTATATAGGGGGGTTTCCAGGAGACCTCAGAGCCCACACAGCCCCTGCTACAGCTGGTGAATGCGGGGCTTTTTTCTTTCTTTTTTTTTAAAGTGCCAGTGGCTGGGCTGGGCAGGGGATGGGCCTGGGCAGGGCAGGGAAGCCATGGGGGCTTCTCCCACAGCTCCTCCAGCTGTGCTTCCTTTTGCCCCAGTGGGGGGAGCCACGGGGGCTATGCCCTGCTGCCGCTTGCCCAGTGGCGTGGCTCACAGGCATGCCTTGCTCTGGGTGGCAGCAGGGCATTGCCCCCACTCCCAGTGCTGCCACACCCACATCAGTGCTGGGAGTGGGGGCTATGTCCTGATGCCGCTTGCCCCCTTCTGCCACACCCGCATCCCGCCCTCCCCACCTGCACCAGCTGGGCAAATGGCAGTAGGGCTGAGCCCCTGCTCTGAGCACTGCCGCACCTGCATCGCACCCCTTCACCCCCCTCCCCAAGTAACACGACCTCTGTCCCGGCTGGGCAGCTTGTTCCAGCCCCAGCCCCAATCCCTTCCTCCCCCATGCCCCCTTCCTTCCCCCAACTCCAACAAACTTACCACCTGGATGCAGCTGTCAGCTACCTATTTAGTCTATGGCTGAATTTCTGACTTGTCCAAATCTTTTCCGAAACTTTTCCGAATTGACTCATGCTTCAAATTGATTTGGAGCTTTTACTTTTATATGTGAACACAAATTAACCACAAAGGTACTGTGGATAAAGATGTAGTTTTATTTACAGAATAAACATTTCAAATTGTAGCTATAACTATAATATTATATTTTTCCAGGTCACAGGGTACCCTATCCAGATGCCTTATATAAATTTGCAAGCAATAAGTGAAGCTGTGCATCAAACTGGCATTCATTCTTCAGAAATCCCCAACACAGAGTTTTCTCTTGCTGTATACATTCACCCATATCCAAACAACATTTTATCTGTGTGGATCTACTTAGTTTCTTTGGTCTGTCACTAGTAAATAGTGTTTAAATCTAAGCAACCATGTGTTGGCTCTCCTGGGAAAAATGATCATTTATGAATGCAGGCTGGGCAATAAAGCTTAGGCTGGATACAGATATTTGGGGAGGTTAGAGGGAAGTTAGATCAAGTTAAAAATGGCCACCTGATCTAAGCTAAGTTGGCATGGTGGGACTAGTAGGGGGGCTGGGTGAATCGGGTGCAAGCTATCTGTAGAAGCTGGTGTGGTGAGGGGGGCAAGCGGAATGCATGGAAGGGATTAGGAGGAGCGGGGGGCAGGCAGTGTCTGTGGAAGCGATTGGGAGGTTAGCAGGGTCTGGGGGGGACCAGAGTGCC